TATTCAATACTAACTCCATAATCAACTGTGATTATTTTTTGAAATTATAGCCAACAGGATCTGATATGGTTTTGCTGTGTCCCCACCCAAATCTCATCTTGAATTCCCATGTGTTGTGGGAGGGACATGGTGGGAGGTAATAGAATTATGCGGGCAGGTCTTTCCCGTGCTGTTCTTGTGCTAGTGAATAACTCTCATGAGAGCTGGATGGTTTTAAAAAGAGGCGTTCTCAGCCAGGCTGTGGCTCATGCCTGTAATTTCAGCACTTTGGAGGCTGAGGCAGGTGGATTACAAGGTCAGGAGTTTGAGACCAGCCTGGCCAAAATGGTGAAACTCCATCTCTACTAAAAATACAAAAACTACTGGTGTGGTAGCACATGCCTGTAGTCCCAGCTATTCAGGAGGCTGAGGCAGGAGAATCACTTGAACCTGGGAGGTGGAGGATGTACTGAGCCAAGATCATACCTGAGACTGGGCAATTTACAAAAGAAAGAGGTTTTCTGGACTTACAATTTCATGTGGATGGGGAGGCATCACAATCATGGTGGAAGGCAAGGAGGAGCAAGTGCATACAGCACAAGGACCCTGAGAACACACTGATACAGTATGTTGATACCAGTAGAGTGGGGTGCTGCTGAAAAGATACCTGAAAATCTGAAAGTGACTTTGGAACTGGGTAAGAGGCAGAGGTTGGAACAGTTTGGGCTCAGAATAAGACAGGAAACTGTAGGAAAGTTCGGAACTTCCTAGAGACTTGTTGAATGGGTTTGACCAAAATGCTGATAATGATAATGACAATGACATCCAGGCTAAGGTGGTCTCAGATAGAGATGAGGAACTTGTTCGGAACTGGAGCAAAGGTAACTCTTGTTATGTTTTAGTAAAGAGACTGGTGGCATTTTGCCCCCGTCCTAGAGATTTGTGGAATTTCAAATTTGAAAGAGATGATTTAGGGTGTCTGGTAGAAGAAATTTCTAAGCAGCAAGTATTCGAGATGTGACTTGGGTGCTGTTAAGGGCATTCAGGTTTATATGGGAAGCAGAGGATAAAAGTTTGGAAAATTTGCAGCCTGACAATGCTAGAGAAAAGAAAATCCCATTTTCTGAGGAGAAATTCAAGCAGGCTGCAGAAATTTGCATAACTAATAAGGAGCCAAATTTAATCTCCAAGGCAATGGGGAAGATGACTCCAGGGCATGTCAGAGATCTTCACAGCAGCCCCTCCCATCACAGACCTAGAGACCTAGAAGAAAAAAGTTTCATGGGCCAGGCCCAGGGTCCTTGTGCTGTATGCAGCTTAGGGACTTTGTACCCTGTGTCCCAGCCATTATAGCCACATGATGTTGAGCCTACCAGTACACAGAAGTCAAGAATTGGAGTTTGGGACATTCTGCCTAGATTTCAGAAGATGTATGAAATGCCTGGACGCCTAGACAGTTTGTTGTAGGGGTGGGCCCTCATGTAGAACCTCTGCTAGGGCAGTGCAGAAGGGAAATGTCAGCTCAGAGTGCTCACAGAGTCCCTACTGGGGCACCACCTAGTGGAGCTGTGAGAAGAAGGCCACTGTCCTCCAGACCCTAGAATGGTAGATCCACTGAAAGCTCGATCTGGCTTTTGGAAAAGCCACACATAATGCCAGCTTGTGAAGGCAGCCAGGAGGGAGGCGGTACCCTGCAAAGCCACAGGGGTGGAGCTACCCAAGACCATGGAAACCCACCCCTTGCATCAGCATGACCCACATGCAAGACATGGAGTCAAAGAAGATCATTTTATTTATTTATTTGTTTGTTTGTTTGTTTTTATTTTGAGATGGAGTCTCACACTGTCACCTGGGCTGGAGTGCAATGGCACAATCTCTGCTCACTGCAACTTCTGCCTTCTGGGTTCAAGTGATTCTCCTGCCTCAGCCTGCTGAGTAGCTGGGATTCCAGGCATGAGTCACCACATCCGGCTAATTTTTTGTATTTTTAGTAGAGATGGGGTCTCACTATCTTGGTCAGACTGGTCTTGAACTCCTGACCTCGTGATCCACCCTCCTCAGCCTCCCAAAGTGCTCAGATTACAGGTGTGAGCCACTGCGCCTGGCCATTTTAGAGATTTAACATTTGACTGCCCCATAGAATATCGAACTTGCATGGGGCCTGTAGCCCTTTTGTTTTGGCCAATTTCTCCTATTTGGAATGGCTGTATTTACCCAATTCCTATACCTTATTGTATCTAGGAAGTAATGAACTTGCTTATTATTTTACATGCTTATAGGTAGAAGGGACTTGCCCTGTCTCAGATGAGATGTTGGACTGTGGACTTTTGAGTTAATACTGAAATGAGTTATGACTTTGGGGGACTGTTGGGAAGGCATGATTGGTTTTGAAATGTGAGGATATGAGATTTGGAAGGGGCCAGGGGCAGAATTATATGATTTTGCTGTGTCCCCACCCAAATCTCATCTTGAATTCCTATGTGTTGTGGGAGGGACCTGATGGGAGGTAACTGAACTGTGGCAGCAGGTCCTTTCCTTGCTGTTCTCGTGATAGTGAATAAGTCTCACAAGACCTGATGCTTTTAAAAAGAGGTGTTTCCCTGCACAAGCTCACTCTCTTTGCCTGCTGACATCCATGTAAGACGTAACTTGCTCCTCCTTGCCTTCTGCCATGATTGTGAGGTGTCTCCAGCCATGTGGAACTGTGAGTCCATCAAACCTGTTTCGTTTGTAAATTGTCCAGTCTCAGGTATGTCTTTACCAGCAGTGTGAAAACAGATGAAAACAGGATCCTTTACAGATTAGATGTTAATGTAAGAGAAAAGAGTTGGAAAACTTCAAGGTCTTTGGACTGAATAACGGAAATAGGGAATAGTTTCACTTATTCATTTAGTTTTTTGAGATCAAGTCTCACTCTGTCACCCAGGCTGGAGTGCAGTGAGGCCATCTCAGCTCACTGCAACCTCCGCCTCCCTGGTTCAAGAGATTCTTGTGCCTTAGTCTCCTGAGTAGCTGGGACTACAGTTGTGCACCACCATGCCTGGCTAATTTTTGTATTTTTAATAGAGATCAGATTTTGCCATGTTGCCCAGGCTGGTCTTGAACTGCTGGGCTCAACCAGTACACATGCCTCAGCTTCCCCAAGTGTTGGGATTATAGGTGTGAGCCACCATGCATGGCCAGGAATGGTTTTTGATTGCCATGGAGAAGGCTGGGCAATCAGCAGGTTTTGGGAAGGGGTAGGAATCAAGATTCTAATAATTGTGTACTCCAAAACCTAAAATGCAATAAAAAAATAAAAATAAAGAAAGAAAAAATTAAAAATTAAAAAAAGATTCTAATTGTGTACATGTTAAAGTAGGGAGTTGATATGTAAATTTTGACTTGAGGAGAGAGATCTGAGAATATCTCCAGATATTCAACTGGAATTATCTGCAGATTGATAGTACTTAAAATCATGAGGCTAAACAATGTTGCCACAGAGTGAGTATATATAGAATAAAGGAGAAGTTGGAGAACTAATGCCTGGATCACTCTAACTTTTAAAGAAGGACTCACAAAGGTGACAAAGATTGGTAGTGAGTTTAGTAGAAAAGTGAACAAAAGTGCTGTTAGAGAAAGCAAGTAAGAACATGTATCAAGGATGGAGTAATCACCTCTCAAATACTGCTGAGAGTTCAACTAAGATATGGACTGGGAATTCATAATGTAAAGATAAACAATGACCTTGAAAATGTAGTTCTTATAAAATAATAGAGATAAAAGCTTCTTTGGAGTGGATTAAAGAGGAGAGAATGGCAGGAAAAGATGCAAAGGCTGCAAGCAGGGACAATTATTTTAAGATGGTCTTTGTAAAAATAGGGGAAGAAATAATAGCATAATTGATGTTGATGAGATTCATCCAGTGGACAGATAAATTGATGATGTAAGAGCTAAAAGGAGAAATTGCTGGAGCAATGTTTTTTATGAAGGGAGAAGAGATGGGGATCAAGTACAAAACTGGAGACGTTGGCCTTAGGAGCACAGTCATTCTATTTATTGTCAGAAGTGTGAAGGCAGAGTATACGGGTACAGATGTCAGTAAATGTGATGTTGGGAGTCTGTGGAGGTTCATTGCACAGCATCAGTTAAGAGTGAAAATGGGCATTGCCAAATGGAAAAAAGGTGTTTGAAATTCAAGGAAAAGACAGAAAATATAAGAGTGAGGTCCAGGAGAATGAGAAAGTCAGTGGACAAGGGAAATATTCTTGAGCTAGAAAGCAAGGTGGGAAAGTGACAAGTCATGTTTGTCCCTTCTTGTTCCTCAGACATGCTAAACTTTTTCCATTCTCAGGGCCTTTGCATTTTCCGTTCCCTCTGTCTGGAAATGTCTTCTCTCAGAGCTCCATCAGCTGGCCTCTTAGCATCATTTGGGTCTCAAGTCCTCAAAGATTATTTCTCTGACCACCACAGCTGATGTTAACACTCTACCATATTACTCTATCATACTATTGTCTCTACCATATTATTCTATTCTATCTTCTGAATCATACCATCGAGATTGCCTTATTTAGTTTTGTACTAACTCATCTCTCGCTCTTTCCAATAGAATATAAGCTCCTACTATGTGGCACTCCAATGTGCTACTTGACTGCTCAACTTCCCTCTACTCCCCTAAACATAAAATTCTCCTGCTTTGCCTCTGGATCCACAGTATCATGAAAACCAGTCCTCCCCAAATCCTCAACCTCTTTACCATGAACTCACTTCTTCCTGCTGCCTCTCTTAAAGTTCTCTGATGAGACTAAGGTTTTCCCTCCAGCTCACAAGGTTGATAGGTGAGGCTGACTTTCTTCCTGCTCCCCACCGCTTCTTCTTGACCTTGATTCCTCTATCCTCTTGTAAACCTCTCTTCTCTCTATCTCACCAGAGTACAAATTTCAAGCCACCTTGATTTTTCATCCTCTCTCATTGTTGTGTCATCATCTGGTAAAGTGAAATGTCACAAGAGCAGAGCAAAGGAGTAACCAATGAATTCATACCTGTTTCTTAGAACATGCAGGGAGCTACTCAAACCATAATCCCAGAGCCGCTCCACTGCAGCAATAAAATAGTGTCGTGTTTTCTTTTGAAAGTTGCGGGGGCTCTGATTTTCATCCTCACCATAAATGTCAAAATCTTCCTTCTTCATTTCAGTTGAGATGGTATCATCATAGTCAATTTCCTCTTGATGGCGTTTCAACACTGGCGGGTGTTGAGAACACAGCCTTTCAGTCTCACTTTGCTTTGCCCAGGTGACTTCTATTTGGGGCTTATTTTGTCCCTCATTTATTGCTGGTATTGCATGATTGCTTTCACAAGGGTTCAGGGACAAAATGGTATCCTTTATCTTAAAAGCAGTGTTTTCTGGCGACTTCTCTTGGGATTTCCACTCTTCTTTTGATATTTGAGTACCATAGTAGTTATCCCAAGCAAGAGAACCCAATAACTTGGAGGGAGTCTTTGCAGAGCTTTCTGTTACTCCTCTGAGAAAGGGAATTTTTCCTGGTCTGTTTGCTTCATTCCACTTATTAGCTCCTTCTGTTTCCTGAAGAAGGCTTCCTTCCATGAGATCTAGATGGCCAGGAGACCTATTAGTAGTTTCTGCAGGCAAAAAGTCTTTCTGATAAATGTGAACTTTTGGAAACAATTCAACTTTGCCAGATGTTTTGGGCAAGCCTGGTTTCAAGAGAATAGTGTTCTCAAGTTTCTCGTACATGACTGAATTTGTGGCACTTGTCCCCACGGAGCCAACCTCTCTTTGATCACCAATCATCTCCAAGGTTAGAATGGCTAAAGAAAGGTTATTTTCTTTGGCTCCTTGTAAGATACGACTGCTTTCTTGGACCCCAGAATTTTTCTTTCTATAAGATAGTGCTAGAAGATGAGAAGAGTTGTTTTGGAATGGGACCCTGGTCAGATCTATAGGACTAATAGATGGCAATAAAGATACTTTTGCTTGAGTGATGCTATGATTCCTCGTAAGACAATCTGATAAGGGAGACTGAGTAACGGCCCCTTTGTCCTTTTCATTGACATCTATCTTTGTGAGTGTGCTCGGGGTGAAATGTTTCATGTTTTCAGACCATCGGGTTGAGGTGTCATCCACAATTAGCCTCTTTTCAAGCTCTGTTTCTTCTACTGGGAGTCTGAATTGTTTCAAAGCTCTCTTACTACGTTGAGTGACAACATTCTGCTGGCTTGGATTAGAAGATAGCTTTGTGGTGTGTGGAGATTTCTCTACCATTTGCTTGGTTTGATTTCCCAAGCCTTCCAAGTTTTCTTCCTCTCCTTTCTTTGTTCTATGTGTTGAATCATTTAATGCCCCCTCATATGCACTTTCTACGTGTTGTCTAGTGCTCAGTAAGAAAAGGTTCTTCATGAAATTCTTAGTGCCAGTCACTGTATGTATCTGAGGCAAAACTACATCCTCTTGGATTAACGTTTCCTTCCTTTCTATTTCTTCCTGAATATTTTTTTCTTGATTGTGTGTACTATTTTCATGTAAATTATCCAAGTTAGTAAGAAACAGGTTTCTGCTGCTTGGAAAAATCATCTCTTTGAGTCCTGAGTCCTTTGTAAATTCGTCCTTTCCTACTACCACTTGATTTTCCTCAGACGAAAAGTTCTGACCTTCCACAGATTTTTCTGGTCCTAAGGATACTAATTGCTTTGCACTAGGGCCTTGCCCAGAGTTCAGGGAGTTATTTCCATGACTCCTTTGTATCCAATTTGCTGATTCTGACAAGAATAGCATTTTAAAGAATGACATATTTGGATTTTCTGCATCTGGTGGCATAGGGCCCTCTTTTTTTTGGTGGACTATTTCCATGTTTTTTGATGAAGTAGTTTTATTTGACATATGATTTACCCTCAGAGCTGTAGTATTTTTGTCTGTAAGCATTCTGTCATGAATCAAAGGTGTCACTTTTTGAAACTCAGTATCACTTTCTAATATATTTTGCCAGACTAATGTACTATTCTCAATTAATAATGTTGGGCCATCAGTGTGAGTCTTTCTATTAGTTGCTAAATTATTGGAAGATTCTTTTTTCTTTAACAAAGAGATACTAACTTGTTGAGCTGTTTTTTCTTTTAATAACCTACCAGTCTCTGTTGATGATACATTTTTTCCAAATGAGCTTTCTTGGCTATCCATTAAACCTGATTCTAACAACTTTGAATCATTATTTTCTTCACTCAAGCTCAGAGGTACACCAGACTCAATAATGGGAGATGACTTTTTGCCAAATAGAGTGGTGTCTAATTGACTATGAGAATGAGCTGGCATATTTTGGGATCCTAAGGAACTTGTATTACCAGTACCTACTGCCACATTGTCTGATGGAATTGTTGAAGTCAGATTATTTGATGAATTAGAAATTTTAAAATTAAGTTTCTTCAGCTCTGTTGCCATAGTTGTCCCCAGTTTCTCATTTAATCTTAATTGGAGGCCTGGCTCTGGGGTAAATACCATATCCCCACTGTGATGGAGCTGTGGCCTGAGGTGTGTCATTTCAGATGGGCTGTCATTACTGTCTATTGCTCCAGGTGATGGATCATCAGAAAAAGTCTCATATTTGGCTTCTTGGAGATCAGGTAAGGATAGCCCATGTGGAGTAGGACTCTGTTGCAAAAGCATCAGCAAATCACTAGAGGAGACATTTTGTACTTTAGGCATATGCGTTCTGTGTCCAAACCAAGGGTCAGTCTTCTCTATGTCATTTTCTGTAATTGTGGTGGCATTAAATTGATTTTGCCTAGTGCTAGGGTGTCTTGAATTCTGGGAGAAGCTTCTTGGTTCAATGCCATTGTTTTCACTCAGCAAGTATGTTGAAATATCTTCATAAGTGTCTTCATAATAATCACCAGTGTTCTTGTCACAACTAGAAACCTTCAGTAAGGCGGTCATGCCTCTGTTCCGAAAGTCTGAGTTGTGGCACCCCAGAATCCATAAGCCTAGATATGAGGAAGAATAAGACTCTGGGTTACTCATAATAAAAATCCTAAGAAAGTTCTGTTAGAGAGTCTCTCCCGTTCCCAGATACATGAAAAAATACTAGTCAGTATTATTATATCACAGGTCACTGGGTTAAACCCCTGGCATATGTAATATAAAAGTGGTTTTGCATTGCTGCTGTTGTGCTATGCCTGTTTGTGACCATAAGAAAGGACTGTGGGGAGGCTGAGGCGGGTGGATCACGAAGTCTAGAGACTGAGACCATCCTGGTCAACATGGTGAAACCCTGTCTCTACTAAAAACACAAAAAATTAGCTGGGCATGGTGGCGCGTGCCTGTAATCCCAGCTACTCGGGAGGCTGAGGCAGGAGAATTGCCTGAACCCGGGAGGCGGAGGTTGCGGTGAGCTAAGATCATGCCATTGCACTCCAGCCTGGGTAACAAGAGCAAAACTCCATCTCAAAAAAAAAAGAAAAAAAAAAAAGAAAGGACTGTGATATTGCTAGCTATGTGCAGAAAGCAGAAAGTGGACCCCTTCCTGACTCCTTACACTAAAATTAACTCCAGATAGATTAAAGACTTAAACATAAGACCTAACACCATAAAAACCCTAGAAGAAAATCTAGGCAAAACCATTCAGGACATAGATTGCATGTTTTCTCTTGTCCTTAAACAAGGTACAAATATGTTCTGATCAAGGTTTGCTAGCAGAGAGGATAAGCAGCATAAGACATGAACCGACACTTCTCAAAGAAGATATGCACGTGGCTCAACATTACTAATCATTTGAGAAATGCAAATGAAAACTACAATTAGGTATCATCTCACAGCAGTCAGAATGGCTGATATTACAACATCAAAAAATAACAGATGTTGGTGAGATTTTGGAGAAAAGAAAACACTTATACACTGCTGGTAGAAATATAAATTAATTCAGCCACTGTGGGAAACAGTGTGGAGATTTCTTGTATAACTTAAAAGAGAACTACCATTTGATCGAGCAATCTCATTACTGGTTATATGCCCAGAGGAATACAAATCATTCTACCATAAAGACACATGCATGTATATATTCATTACAGCACTATTCATCCTACTAGCAAAGACATGGATTCAACCTAAATTCCCATCAATGGTGAATTACATATATATACCATGGAATATTACACAGACACAAAAAATAAGATCATGTCCTTTACAAAACATGGATGGAGTTGGAGACCATTATCCTAAGTGAATTAATGCAGGAACAGAAAACCAAATACTGCATGATCTCACTTATAAGTGAGTGCTAAACATTGAGTACACATGGACACAAAGAAGAGAATAATAGACACTGGGGCCTACTTGAGGGTTGAGGGGTGAGGATGAAAAAACTACCTATTGGGTACTATGCTTATTAACTGGGTGACAAAATAATCTGTACACCAAAACCCCACAAAATGCAATTTACCCGTGTATCAAACCTGCATATGTACCCCCTGAAACTAAAATAAAGTTGGAAAGAAAAAAAGAGAAAGAATGACAGAATTTTCCAAACCTAGAGAAAGATATGAATATCCAGGCACAAGAAGTTCAAAGAACACCAAGAAGATTCAACCCAAAAAAGACTACCTCAAGGCATATAATAATGAAATCTTAAAGGTCAAAAAACGTGTTTAAAGGCAGCAAGGGAAAAGAAGCAACAAACATAAGAAGAGAAACTTTATAGGCCAGGGGGTAAACTGAATGACCTATTCAAAATGCTGAAGGGAAAAGACTCCCAAACTAGAATATTATGTCCAGAAAAGTAATTCTTCAAACATTAAGGAGAAATAAAGACTTTTCCAGACAAATAAAAGCTAAGGAATTTGTCAAAACTGGACCTATCTTTTAAGAAATGGTAAGGAGAGTTCTTTAATCTGAAACAAAAGGATGGTAAAGAGCAAGAGGAAATGATCTACAGGCACAAAACTCACTGGAAATAGTAAATACACAGACAAATGCAGAATATGCAGTATGTAAAATACTCTTATCTTCAGTATGAACAGTAAATGAAAAGCCGAATAAAAATAACAGTAACTATTACACAAAAATTTGTTAAGAGATAGATAATGTAAAAAGGCATAAATTGAAACAACAAAAAGTCAAAAAGAGGCAGGGGATGGACTTCAAAAGAAAGTTTTTAGTTTTCTCTTTGCTTTTTTTCTTTGAATTGCAATCAGAGTTGTCATAAGTTTAAAATAGTTGGTTATAAAATGTTACAAGCCTCGTGATAACTACCAAGCAGAAACCTCTAATAGATACACACACACAAAAATAAGAGATTAAAACATACTACCAGAGAAAATCACTTTTATACAAAGGCAAACAGGAAAGGAAGAAGAGAGGACTAACAAAATAACCACAAATCAAATAACCAAGTGGCAGTAGTAACTGCTTACTTAACAACAGTAACACTGAGCATAAATGAACTAAATTCTTGAATGAAAACAAGAATCAACCATATGCTGCCTGCAAGAAACTCACTTTACCTTAGAAAGAAACACAGACTGAAAATGAAGGCATGGAAAAAGATATTCCATGCAAATAGAAACAAAAAAGCAGGAGTAGGTATATCAGCTAAAATAGACTGCAATTCAGAAACAGGAAAAACAGACAAAGAAGGTCACTACATAATGATAAAAGGGTCAATTCAGCAAAAGGATGTAATAATTCTAAATGTATATGTACCTAACACTGGAGCACTGACACATATAAAGCAATTCTTATTAGAGCTAAAACGAGACATAGACTCCATTACAATAATTAGGCATTTCAATACCCCACTTCCGGCACTAGAGAGATTACTAGATAGAAAATCAACAAAGAAATATCACACTTAATATGCACTACAGACCAAATGGACCTAATAGACATTTACAAAATATTTCATCCAACAACCACACAATACACTTTTTTTTTCTCCTCAGCATATGGAACATTCTCAACAGATCATGTAGTAGACCACAAAACAATTAAAAATATTCCCCCAAAATGAAATCATATCCAGTATCTTTACTGATCTCAATGGGATAAAACTGGAAATCAATAACGAGAGGAATTTTGGAAACTATATGAATACATGGAAATTAAATAACATGCTTCTGAATGACCACTGGGTCAATGAAGAAATTAGGAAGAAAATTTAAATTTTTTTAAACAAATGAAAATGGAAATACAGCATACCAAAACCTATGAAGCAGAACTAAAGGAAAATTTGTAACAATAAACACCTACATCAAAAAAGTAGAAAGTCCTCAAATAAACAACATAATGATGCATTTTAAAGAACTAGAAAAACAAGATCAAACCAAATTCATAGCTAGTAGAAGGAAAGAAATAATAAAAATGAGAGCAGAAATTGAAACTAAAATAACAGTTAAAAAGATCAATGAAATGAAAAGTTGGTTTTTAGAAAAGATAAACAAAATTGAGAAACCTCTAGTCAGACTAAGAAAAGGAAAAGGTAAGACAGAAATTGAAACTAAAATAACAGTTAAAAAGATTGAACATAAGAAATATAAACCTTGGGCCAGGCACAGTGGCTCATGCCTGTAATCCCAGCCCTTTGGGAGGCCAAGGCGGGCAGATCACTCGAGGCCAGGAGTTTGAGACCAGCCTGGCCATCATGGCAAAATCCCGTCTCTACTAAAAATTCAAAAATTAGCCAGGTGTGGTGGCACACACCTGTAATCCCAGCTACTTGGGAAGCTGAGGCACAAGAATAACTTGAACCTGGGAGGCGGAGGTTGCAGGAAGCTGAGATCGACCACACTCTAGCCTGGATGACAGAATGAAACTCTGCCTCAAAAATCGAAAGAAACAAAGAAAGAAAGAAAATAAAAAGAAAGAAAAGAAAGAGAAAGAAGGAAAGAAAGAAAGAAAGAAAGAGAAAGACAAAACTTGAATAGATTAATAACAAGTGATGAGATAGAAATAGTAATAAAAAGTCTCTCAACAAAGAGAAGCCCAGGACCTGATGGCTTCATTGCTGAATTCCACCAAACATTTTTCTTAAAGAAAAGAACTAATACCAACTATCCACAAGCTATCCCCCCCCAAAAAGGAGTAAATATTTCCAGACTCATTCCACAAGGCCAGTATTACCCTGAAATCAAACCAGACACACACACACACACACACACACACACACACACACACACACACACAAGCTACAGGCCAGTATCTCTGATTAACATTAATGCAAAAATCCTCAGCAAAATATTAGCAAACGCCATTCAACAACACAGTAAATGATCATTCATCATGATTAAGGGGGATTCATCCAAGGGATGCAAGGATATTCAAAATATGGAAATGAATCAATGTGATACATTGTATCAACAGAATGAAGGACAAAAACATATGATCATTTCCATTGATGCCAAAAAAATTAAATTCAACACCCCTTCATGATAAAACTCTCAACAAACTGGGTATAGAAAGCATACCTCAAAACAATAAAGGCCATATATGACAAACCATGGCTAATATTATACTGAATGTGGAAAACTGAAAACCTTTCCTCTAAGATATGGAACAAGATAAGGACACCCACTTTCACCAGTTCTATTAAATGTAGTCCTGGAAGTTCAAGCCAGAACAAGTAAGCAAGAGAAAGAAATAAAGGGTCTCCAATTTGGAAGGAAAAAGTCGAATTCTCCTTGTTTATAGATGACATAATCTGATATTTTGAAAAAAACTAAAGACTCCACCAAAAAACTATTAAAACTGATAAACAAATTCAGTAAACTTGCAGGATAAAAAACCAACATGTAAAAATCAGTAGCATTTCTATATACCAAGAGTTAATGACCTTAAAAAATCATTTACAATAGCTACAATAAAAATAAATTAAATATCTAGGAATAAATTTAACCAAAGAGCTGAGATGTTTCTATAATGAAAACTAAAATACTGATAAAGGGAATTGAAGAAAACATAGAAAAACTGAAAATGTATCTATCCCATGTTCATGGGCTGGAAACACTAATATTGTTAAAATATCAATGCTACCAGATTTAATGTAATACCTATCCAAATACCAATGAAATTACTCACAAAAATAGAAAAAATATCTTAAAATTTGTATGGAATAACAAAAGATTCCAAAGAGCCAAAGCAGTTCTGAGCAAAAAGAACAAAGCTGGAAGAATGACACTACTTGACCTCAAACTATACCACAAAGCTGTGGTAACTAAAACAGCATGGTACTGGCATAAAACCAGAAACATATGCCAGTGTAACACAACAGAGAACTCAGAAATAAATCCACATATTTATAGCCAACTCATTTTTGACAAAATTCTCAAGAACATGCACTGGTGAACGAATAGCCTCTTCAATAAATGGTGTGGGAAAACTGGATATCCACATGCAGAAGAATGAAACTAGATCCCTATCTCTCACTATATACAAAAATCAAATCAAAATGAATTAGAGACTTAAATATAAAACTTGAAAGTATAAAACTGCTGGAAGAAAACATTGGGAAAATGCTCCAGGACATTGGTCTGGGAAAGATTTTGCAGATAAGACTTCAAAAGCACAAGTGACTAAAGCAAAAATAGACAAATGGGATTATATCAAGCCATAAAGCTTCTGCACAGCAAAGGAAACAATTAACAAAGTGAAGAGACAATCTATAGAATACGATGAAGTATTTGCAAACTATACAACCGAGAGGGTATTAATAACCAGAATATATAAGAAACTTAAGTCAATACCAAAAAAAAGAGAATCCTATTAAAAATGGACAAAGATCTTAAGAGACATTTCTCAAAAGAAGACATACAAATGGCCCACAAGTATGTGAAGAACTGCTCAACATGACTAATTACCAGAGAAATGCAAACCAAAGTACAATGAGATATTTCACTCCTGTTAAATGGCTTTTATCAAAAAGATAAAAAAAAATAAGGAATGCTGGTGAGGATGTGACAAAAGGGGAACGCTCGTACACTGTTGGTGGGAGTGTAAATCAGTACAGATACTATGGAAAAGAGTAAGGAGGTTCCCCAAAAAATGAAAAATAAAACTATCAGGTGATCCAGCAATCCCACTGCTGGATATATGTCCAAAGACAGGAAATTGATGTATCAAACTGATAGATGCACACCAATGTTTATTACAGCAACATTCACAATAATTAGGATATATAATCAACCTAAGTATACATCAACAGATGAATGAATAAAGACAGTGTGGTATATATACACAATAGAATATTACTTAGCCATTAAAAAGAATGAAATCCCATCATTTGTGGCAACATGGATGAACCTGGATATCATTATGTTAAGTGAAATAAGCCAGATATAAAAGAGAAATACCACATTTTCACTTACATGTGAGAGCTTAAAAAATGGATCTCACAGAGATAGAGAGTAGAATAGTGCTTAACAGAGTTTGGGAAGGTTATGGGGGATTTGGTGGAATGAAGAGAGGTTGAGTAATAGGTAGAAAATTACTCTTAAATAGAAGGGGTAAGTTGCAGTGTTCAATACGACAGTAGGGTGACTATACTTAAGAATAATACATTGTGTAATTCAACGTTTTTAAGGTGATAAATATCCCAGTTAATTTGATCATTATGCATTGTATACTTATATGAAAATATCACATGTACCCCCTAAATATGCACAATTATGTATCCATAAAAACTGTAAAAATTGGCCCTTGGCATGTGAAGACAGTTTTAGAGCAAAGACTTTTAAGTTAAATACTCGAGTTGGTGTTGTCATTAAAATGCCTATCCTGCATGATCTGCACATGTACCCCAGAGCTTTAAGTATAATAATAAAAATAAATAAATACCCCAAAATGCCTTGCAATTGCCAAAATCACTCGAATCATTTCATATCTGCCCAAATGGGAGCTAGTGGACAAAGCAGCATATGAATGGCTAGTGAAGCATTCACAGCTGTTGGTAAAAAAATAATATATGTAACTAACCTGGGTTTTCCATTGACATGAAAACAGTTTCTCCTGAGAATGGGAATAGGGTAAGTGTGTCTTCATAGACCATTTTGTGTTTGAAGGTATATCCAGAGAAGAAGACAGAAAGGAAGTCAGTCTGTGCTCCAATGCTTAGAATGTACCAGTACGCCACCTCATGCAAACAAACTGACAACTGCAAACTATCGAAAACATAGCCATTGATGCCTGCAAAACAATGGGAAAAAGAGGTTAGTCATATCACAGAGTTAGTATTTTGGATTGTGATTGCTGTGATACAATTAGGAATTATTGCATGTTATGCCCATTATCTTATTCCCAGGAAGAGATATCATATATTTCAAAAAAGCAGATTGCTAATAATCATCTGGGATCCAATCCCAATGTGAGGAGACAGTCATAAACCTCATGATAAAGATTAATTTCGATATTATATGGGAGGCAGTTTGATGAGAAACAGGATGTTCGCATGGTCTCAAAGTATATCCCTTCAAACTGTTTATTAGTTGCAAGGGAGAAAATAGTCACTACACAGAGGAGCAACCAGAAAAAAAAACCCTGAGTGCTTCAAGTTACCATCTGATCAAGGTGCAGATTCAAGGAAATGAAAGAAGTAGGACAAGTAGTTACTTGTACTAGATCTCTGTACTGCAGGGAATAAATGCTGTAAATGACAGCATTGGTTGATACAACTGGAATACCAGCTGTAAATTACAGAAATATATTTTATCAATTTGAAGTGTCTGTCATTTCATAACGTCAGGCTGGTTGTGTAAAAGAATATCTTTATTCACAGGAAATGTGTACTAAAGTGTTGAAAGGTAAAGGGGTGTGATGTCTGCAACCCATTTTCAAGTAAAAAAGTAGCAAAAGTGTGTATATAGAGAAAATAAAATGAAAAACAAAATTGCAAAATGTTAAACATTGGTGAATCTGGGCAAAGGGTATATGCAAGTTCCCTGTATTATTCTTGTAATTTTCTGTATATTTCAAATTATTTCAAACCAAAGAGCTAAGCAAAAGTAACACTGACCTTCCTATATGAAGGGAATTGTTTCTGAAAGCCTGTTCCACACATCTACTCATCCATCCATTCAATAAACACCTGTCTACTCTGTTACTATGTACTGTGTAAGTCTCAGACATTAGCTTAGTATAACTAATTAATCATTGAAGTTTTTTTCCTGTACAGCTTTAAGAGATATTATAAAGCTATTATAATTAAAAATGCAGTCTTAATGCAGAATAGATAAATATATCAAACAGAATATAGAATCCAGAAACTGACAAGAGTAAGTGGAAACTTAACATATAATAAAGGCAGCATCTCCAACCATTACAGGGAAAAATGAGCTATTTGGTAAATGATAACAGAAAATATGACTATCCACTTGCAAAAACAGATTCTACTTCATTTCACATAACTAATAAAAGTAAACTCCTGTTAAATTAATTTGAATTTGCCCTAAGGGTACCTCTGCACTTGAGTCCTTGCACAACAAAGCGCACCTGTCTTAGTTGATGAACTAACTGAAAGCCTAACTTAGGAATACGCTTTTATAACAAACAGCTCAGTCTCAGCCGATTATAGTTGCTGAATTTCCATCAACTGCAGGCAACCAACAGCTGGCTGCTGTTTTGTATCTGATTCTAGAATTATGTATAAAAGGCAATTATAATATTAAAGTACATTTGTTGTATTTTTGTCTTTTGACACTCCACATGGATTAAATAATTATATGTCTTTTGTGAAATATGTACACACTACATTTGGCTAGTATTAGTCCGCTAGGGCTGCTATAACACTATACCACAGAGACTGGGTGCCTTAAATAACAAGAATGTGTTTTCTCACAGTTTTGAACACTAAAAGTCCAAGATCAAGGTGTTGGCAGGTTGGGTTTTTACTGAAGCCTCTCTCAGGCCATAACACATATATACTAGACGTTGATTTCCTGAGTCAATAGGGTATGCATATGTTTGGCTTTAGATACTCCCAAAGTAAGTGCACAAATTTCCATCCTAACCAGAAATGTATGAGAGTTCTGGTTACTGCACGTCTTTACCAATACTTGGTATGGGCAATCTTTTTAATTTTAGACATTCTGGTTTATCTCATTGGTGGTTTTTTTTCTTTCTTTCTATTTTTTTTTTTTTTTGAGATGAAGTCCTACTCTGTTGCCCAGGCTCGAGTGCAGTGGCACAACCTCCACCTCCTGGTTCAAGTGATTTATCTGCCTCAGCCTCCCAAGTAGCTGGGACTGCAGGTGCATGCCATCATGCCTAGCTAACTTTTTGTATTTTTAGTAGAGATGGGGTTTCACCATGTTAGCCAGGATGGTCTTGATCTGCTGACCTTGTGATCCACCCACCGCAGCCTCTGAAAGTGCTGGGATTACAGGCGTGAGCCACCGCACCTTTTAATTTATTCATTAGCTTGCACAACAGTTACCTGAAATCACTGCAATGTAAGCCTTCCTCAGGCTTAATCACTAGAATGGCTAATTCTTCTCTATCCATTCTTTTTAAATTTATATTTTAATTGAAAGGGAAAAACAGAATCTATGATGTACATCACAATGTTTATATATGTATAATATATTGGAATGGATAAATGAAGCTATTAACGTATGCATTACTTCACATACTTATTTTTCTGGTGAAAACACTTGAAATCTACTCTCATAGCAAGTTTCTAGTATACAGTAGATTGTTACTAACTATAGTCACCACAGTGTACAATAGATGTGTTTAATTTATTCCTCTTGTCTAACTGCAATTGTCTGACCTGTGAAGTTTCTGTTGAGAAATCTGCTGCTAGCCTTACTGGAATTTCCTTATATGTGATTTGCTTCTTCTTTTTTGTTTTTCTTTCAGGATTCTCATTTTGTCTTTGATATTTGATAGTTTGATTGTAATGTGTCTTGGTATACTCTTGTTTGAATCTAACCTGACTAGAGATCTTTGAGCTTTTTGTATGTGGATATTTACATCTTGCCCCAGATTTGGAAAGTTTTCTGCTATCATTTCTTTAAATACACTTTCTTCCATTTTGTCTGTCTCTCCTCCTAATTACCCACATCCAAAATTTGGTGATCATCCTTGAATCCTCTTGGTCCTTTACCAAATATAGCTAATTATTTACCAAATCTTCTGCATGCTGTCCTCTAAACAAATCCTGTACATGTCCCTTCCTCTTCATTCCTACTGCAATTTCCGTATCATTTGTAGGATCCATCTATAAAATAAATCCTAAATCCTACAATTTTTTAAAACACAAAATCATAAAACAAACACCTAGGTCATGAAATACAATGCTGCTGGTATCCCCACAAAATACATGTGTTCATTCTCAAATCTTCTTCTATCTTGTCTTTTATGATAATCGTGTCCTTACTAGCCTTTATACTTTTCTTCCTGTGTATTCCTAAACAATATAACTTAATTTTGTCCATTTTTGAACTTTATGTAAATAATATAATACTGTATGTATTCTTTTGAGATTTACCTTTTTACTAAAAATTTTGCTTGTGATATTTATTCATATTGTTGTATATAGCTTTATTTTTGTGAATCTTCATTGTTGCACAGTATTTCATTGTATGAAAATAGATTATCCATTTTACTGCTAATGGAAATTTGAGTGGCTTACGTTTTGGGTCTCCCTCCTCCTGGTCTTTTTATTTTTCTTCTTTTCTTATCCCTCTGCCTTAGCATCTTTCTCCCTGGACTCTTCCTCTCAAGATCCTTCCCTGTGTCTCTTGGCCTGTGTCTCCCCCTGTACTCTTTCTCAACTCCAATCTCTTCTTTCTCTATTCCAGACTCTTATCTCCACCAGAAGCTATATTAGAAATCCCAGAGGATAAAAATACTTATTTTCTCCCAATATCTATATCATTTTCAGTGAAAATGTTTTTTGGCTCTACTAATGTCACTATATATCTCATGTTTTAATCACTGTCTCCATGGAAATGATATGCTTTAACTATCCAGATACTGTAGTAGGAACCCATTCTACTTGGAAAAAGATGTGGTGGGAAAGGAAGAAATGATGAATAGAAAAAAATAAAAGAACAAATATATAGTATATAACACAATAAGTAAATTATAAAATACAGTATTCTATGAGGCTGAAGGAATTCTAAACCAAAGCCATGAGGCTGGAGAGAAGGAGAAAAGAAAAAAGCTCTGTGCCACAAGAATGAAATACTAAGCATTAGGCTCTTGCACAAATGTCAGATCTGAATCATTCAGAAGGAAAGCAATACCCTGAACTATATAAAAAATAAAAATGCAACTGAAAGGACTAAACAAACTCAAAATTTTTAGAATAATGGATAGCTATTACTAAAATTCAGGCTTGATATGAGGCTCAACCCAAAGCTAAAGGGCTAAAGCTTTGAGATGAGGGGAATAGAATTGAAACACATGCCACATTCTGGTAGGTGAGTATAACCCACATTATAACTTTCCAAGATTCTCAGACAGGTAGGTGGTCCATACATTTTGTTTAGGATTTTTAGTTGCATCCAGTGGGACACACAGGGACATGTGTGTTCATTCCATCTTAAACATCTTAATAATCAGAATTTCAAAAGGCATATATTTGTTTTGAAAGACTATATTAGTTATCCACTAATACAGCATGAGAACACTCTTTTATCCACAAGCCCACTAGTAATTATAATTCTGGCAGTTTCATGGGTATAAAATGCTATCTCGTTGTTATTCTATTTTGCATTTCCCTGTAGGATAGTGCAATTGGAATTTTTTGTATCATATTTTTGACCATTCAGATTTGTGGGTATATTTAAACATATATGCATGTGTACGTATGCAATGGGCTGACTTGTGTTACCCCATCCCAAATTTATAACTTGTAGTCTTAAACCCTGGTACCTCAGCATGTGACTATACTTGGAGATAGTGTCTTTAAATAGGTAGTTAAAATAAGGTCATTAGGGTGGGCCCTAGCCCAACATTATCTGTATCTTTATTAGAAGAGGAGATTAGGACAAAGATACATAAAGGAGAAGCCATCTACAACACAAGGAGAGAAGCCTCAGAAGAAAGTGATGCTACCCACATCCTGATCTCTGCTGATGATTAAGCCACCCAATCTGCAGTACTTTATTATGGCAGCACTAGAAGACTAATACAATGTATGTATGTTTTTATATATGATTATATAATTATAGAGAAAATGTTTTAAAATGTGTTACCTGGGCATAGAATGGTTGGTGAAAAGATATAATACAGAAAGAGATGGGGAATTAAAAGCAAGGGGAAACCAAGTAATTATTGAAAGGAGAAAATAGTGACCAGATTTTTAAAATATGGATTATACGATCACATGTATTTGTGTACAAATTAAACATTTTTAGGTAACATACAACTCATTCATTATCTGGACATCACTTTGGTTACATCAGTTTTTCTTTATCCAGTGCTCACTGGACTTAAGTGCTGCTTTACTCACTGTGCATGATGTTGGAGGCTTGGAACTCTGGATCCTCAAGCTGCACTCCAGTTGCACTGGGGAGAAAGCGCTGCATATTCTCTGTGAGGTACCAGCTTTGATTCTCATCAAATACAGAAAATAGGATGACATTCCTCTTGTCTGACATCATCTGTTAATTACATATATTGAAAGGGGTAAAGAAATGCTACTGATGTTGTCAGGTAGGAGCTAGCAGTCTATGATGACAACGATGACATGCATGTGATATATCTGATCCTTTAGTTTAATTCCATTTCCTCTTAGGCATGTACCAAGGCTTGGGATTTAGGGGTGGGTGCTATGAGCAGTGAGTATATGCTCACAGCAAATGTGTCCCCAGGACAAGAGGGTGACTGAGCCACTGAACTGAGGTTTTTCTGTACCCAAGGCCATATGCTGGCTAATTTTTTGGTACAGTCTACAGCCTTATTCTCTCCATGTTCAGATCAGAAGATGTAACTCTTTAAATATGCAAGTGATTATTCGGTGCCTTTGTTAAACAAGTTAGTTAAGTCAAATGAGATAATGGCTTTCCTAAACTTCCATCTAGCAACTGACCTCCTACAAGGCTATAAAAACAGAAAAACAGAAATCAAATAACAAAGACAAGGTCAACCACAAAAATGTCGAACAACACTAAAACCTTAAATTTTCTGTTTAAAACATTCAAATTTTTTTCCAGAAAAGCAGTGTGTATATGAACCAGATTTATGAGCTAGTGCTTGCTAATTGGATCTGTTAGGATTTCATATGTAAACCTCGCTAATATGTATAAACTTCATTTTTTATAATCTATAGCTATAGAAACCAAAATACGAAGAGAGGAGACTGGAGAATATAGAAGAATATTTCAGTTCTCTTTCCAAAACTGGCAAAAAAAACTGTAATTAGGAAAAAGCAGTCAGGACAAGTACTTGCCCTAATTTATACTTCTCTGAGTTTATGTGCTGCATGTTTTATTGGCACCAAAGTTCATATACTTTACTCTCTAAACAAATGAAATGTTTTTAGACTAGTAGGGATCTTATGTATCATAAATATAATCAAGTAGACATGTAGTCAAGCCTCAACAATATGGCAATGAATTATTCTGGGGCCAAGCAATGAGTTTTTGTGAAGTTTTTATGAGTTTTTATTTTTCCCTGTGTTTTGCTTAATAATATTTATTAAACTCTTTTTTTAAATTTGAGACAGGGTCTCGCTTTGTCACCCAGGTTGGAGTGTGGTGGCACAATCTTGGCTTACTGCAGTGTTGACCTTCTGGGCTCAAGCAACCTTTCCACCTCAGCCTCCTGAGTAGGTGGGACTACAGGCATGAGCCACCTAACCCAGGTATTTTTTTTTTTTTGTAAAGACAGGGTCTTACTATTTTGCCCAGGATGGTCTTGAAATCCTGAACTCAAGCAATCCTCCTGCCTCAGCCTCCCAAAGTGTTGTGATTACAGGCATGAGCCACCACATCCAGTCTGTTAAGCTCTTACTAAGTGCCATGCACTGTGCTATATACTGCAGACATGTTAATTTTGAGGTGCTTTTGAGTCACCCATAAGGAGATGTCCATGGGAAAAATCTAGGCTGTAGATATAAATTTGTAGGTCATCTGAAAATAGGTGGTAATTGGACATGTGAAAATGGGGAGGATCACCTAGATAGAGCTAAATCCCAGACTGGGAATGAGTATTACATGAAGAATATACAGCCTACATTCTATGGCCTGTCCATCCAGCAGGCAAGTTTACTACATTACACCCGAATTCAGTAAAAGCTAAGCTCCTTTCTTTTACTGACCTATACTGCAAACCACTATATTTTCTTCAGGTTATAAGAGGACATATACTGAGAATTTATGTGCATCTCATTTTTAGCTTCAAACGTAGCACTTGGAAAGGCAAAAACTCACCTGGTTTCCTCTTTGATCTACAGATTCTTTGTAGCAGATGAGGAGAGGGCCAATGAGTCCTGAAGCTAGATCTCTCTCCATATTAATGAAACTAGAGTAATACCGTGTAAGGCACCGAGGATCTGATTTAGTTGGCCCATCTTCTACAGTCACTGTCCATTTATATTTGAATATTTCTCCTGGCAGAATTGGAAAATCCTTCAAATGTTTTACACCTACCCACAAGCAAAGCCAGAAATAGCTCAATTAGGGTACAACAAACCACATATTGGTAATCATGTTGTTATTGCAAGGGTTCTACAAATCAGCAAGTGGAAGCTAAAGTCACACATTATAATTTTAAGAGTCACACAATTTTTTTTAAAAAGTAAAAAGCTGTCATTGATGGGCATTTGGGTTGGTTCCAAGTCTTTGCTATTGTGAACAGTGCCACAATAAACATACGTGTGCATGTGTCTATAATAGAATGATTTATAATCCTTTGGGCATATACCTAGTAATGGGATTGCTGGGTCAAATGGTATTTCTAGTTCTAGATTCTTGAGGAATTGCCACACTGTCTTCCACAATGGCTGAACTAATTTACACTCTTGCCAAACTTAAAGTATATATAAAAAAGTAAAAAGTGATTATCTGGTTCACTGTAATTGATTATCTGGTTCACTGTGAAAGTTTCAGGTCTGAATATACGCGAAAGAGCTTGGCATTGGAATTTTAAGATGTAGTATCTGACCTCTGTGAAGAAAGGAAGCAAGAACTAAGATCTGCCTCAGGGTAATGGATCCTTAGGACAAGAACTGATTTTAGTAATTAAGCCTCATTTTGGGTATGTTTAATTCCTGAATATTCAATACAAATCAAAATTTTAATTTTATATTCATTGTAAGCACTTCCTCATCTCACTAGGTTATGCCTGATCTATGGTTAGAGAAACTATAGAAAGGGAATGGTGTTGAGGTCAGGAGTTCGAAACCAGCCTGGCCAACATGGTGAAATCCTGTCCCTACTAAAAATACAAAAATTAGCCAGGCGTGGTGGCAGGTACTTATAATCCCAGTTACTTGGGAGGCTGAGGCATGAGAATCGCTTGAACCCAGGAGGCAGAGGTTGCAGAGAGCCAATATTGCACCAATGCACTCCAGCCTGAGCAACAGAGTGAGACTCTGTCTCAAAAAAAAAAAAAAAGAAAAGAAAAGAAAAGAAAAGGGAATGGTGTAGTATGTTCTTTCAATATTTATCAGCCTTCTCTTCCCTTTTCCAGGAACTCAGGGCGAGGGAGGGTAGATATTAGAAGAAAGGGCAAACAGACTCTTGTTTAATGGATCCTGCTGCTCTATCTATCTTTGACAACACTATTTGGTCATCAATGTTCTCTGTGTAGGAGGTGCCCAAATGCTGGGCTTTTCACAGGATACATATATGGTTTCTTTAGAGTTACTATGGGGACCTGAGCACTACATAGTTCTATGACATGAGAGGTGTTTCCTTCAGCTATCCTTCTGCAACGCTCCTCTCCCCATCAGCTCTTACTACTTTCAGTGATATATCCAAGACTCTGTTGGTTCTGCTATCTCCTCAGCCTGCCTAGCTGCGTTCTGGGGCAGAACATCTTCAAAAGAGATAAAGCCCAGCTATTTTCAGCAGTATTCACTTGTTACAGAGGAAACTCATGTCAAACAGAAGAAAGGCAAATTGCTCCACTCTTGCCCTCTATTCTTGCCCACTACTATGGGCATTACAGACTTCAAAATTCTCCATGGAAAAAGCAGGTTACCAGTAACTGTATCATGTGTGCCTCCAAATTTCAGGATACACATTCAAAATCTCCCCAGAACTCTGTAACTATGCCCTTCTTCCATAAAGAAATGCAAATAAAACTGCCATTAGAATTTTTATCAGCAATAACAAATATTAGAAAAAAGTGGAAGAAAAAAATCTTTTTCAAGATGGAGTCTTGCTGTGTTGCCCAGGCCGGAGTGCAGTGGTGTGATCTTGGCTCACTGCAACGTCCACCTCCCGGGTTCAAGCAATTCTCCTGCCTCAGCCTCCTGAGTAGCTGGGACTACAGGTGCGCACCACCATGCCCAGCTAATTTTTTTCTATTTTTAGTAGAGACGGAGTTTCACCATGTTGGCCAGGCTGGTGTTGAACTCCTGACCTCAAGTGATCTGCAGGCCTTGGCCTCCCAAAGTGCTGGGATTACATGTGTGAACCATTGCACCCGGTGGAAAAATTTTTATAACCAGTCTGTCTATCCATCATGTGATACTGAAGGATTCAGCAAGTTTACCCTCTATGTACTACATATTTAAAGGTTACTTGAGCATATACTTCCAGAAAAACAAGAGAAGAAATAAAAAAATAGAAATGTACAAGAGAAGAGAAGTTAATGCCATTAACTGCAAGAATGTCTTTAAGAAGAAAAAGATTTGGTCCCAGCACTTTGGAAGGCCAAGGCAGGCAGATCTCTTGAACTCAGGAATTCAAGACCAGCCTGGGCAACAAGACCCCATTTCTACATAAAAATGCAAAAAAAAAATTAGCTGGGCATGGTGGCGTGCGCCTGTGGTCCCAGCTACTCAGGAGGCTGAGGTGGGAGGATAGCCTGAACCTGGAAGGCGGAGGTTTCAGTGAGCTGAGATCCAGCTGCACTCCACTGCACTCCAGCTTGGGTGACAGAACAAGACCCTGTCTCAAAAAAAAAAAAAAAAAAGATTTGGATACCAAGCAATAAATGAGATGATTAAGAAGCTGAAAGGTCTAAGAAATATGGTGAAGAAGCATACATTTCTTTTCCTAATAAAAGAAAATAAAGTCTTACTTCAGGATACAGACACAAATATTATAAAATCAATATAGTCCTAATACAAAAGCTAAAATTTAGCATGATATCAAACTACTGATGGGGCATAAGGAAGGAGAATCTATTTGATCTTTTTTTGACACGTGATAATTTTACTATTTATGGGGTACGGAGTAATATTTCAATACATGTATACACGTGTAGTGATCAAACTAGGGTAATTAGTACATTTCCATCACCTTAAATGTTTTTCATTTCTTTGTGTTGGGAACATTCCGAATCATCTCGTCTATTTGAAAATATGTCATTGTTGACTACAATCACCCTAAAGTGCTATAGAACCTTAAGACTTATGCCTCCTATCTACCTGGAATTTTACATCCATTAACCAACCTCTCCCTATTTCCTCCTCCCCTTCCCGTCTTTAGCCTCTAGTAACTACTATTTTATCTCTACTTCTATGAGATCAACTTTTTTCCTTCCACATATTATTTTATCTTAATAGTAAAATCAGTTGAGCTGTAGAAAAGAGAGTAATCATACCATATTATCTAGTTCTGCAGTTAACATTTATAAAAAGAAACTTAAATACTAAAATAATACAAATGCTGTTTTTTAATTTTTTAAGTTTTAGAGAAAATATACAAAGCAAGGAAGAGTTATTTAAAATTACGGTACAAAACGAAAATGTTAAGTTGTTTCATAAAAGTAATGGAATGGCTAGCAGCAGTAAAGAAAAGAAAGGTTTGGGGAGAGAAAATTGAGGGGTACAGTTTTTAACATCCTTAATTTACAAAATATGGAGTCTAAATATATTTTGCAATCATGGATTGAAAATATATTACTAAAAGTGGATGTTTAGTATATTTTAAAAATTCTAATGATATTCAATTGAGGAACTGAAAACACTGATAAAACAGAAACAACTTGAATGGAAAGAAGCACAATGTTAAGTACTCACTTCACACAAAACAAAGTAAGTATATAATGTCTCAAGTTGAAAAACAAAGAGTTAGCAGTATAAGTAACTTTTTAGAGACGCAGAGATAACCACCAAAAATCAAAAACAGAAATTCTTAAAAATGGGTGCCTCTAGGGAGACAGTCCTTTTGTAGTTGTAAGCATACACATCTATCATTTTGATAAATATCCAACCAAAATTAAAGAATAGAAAGAATATATATAACATCCAATCTACCAAAAATACATATATATAATAAAACTACTGACAAAAGAAATAAAAGGCTAAAGTAATTGTAATTAAAATATAAAAGTATCACAATACCCAAAGACATATCAGTAGTAACACAAATGTGACTAGGGTAAAACCCCCTATTGAAAGATAGAGATTGGGCGCAAAATAAAACCCATATGTACGCTCTTTCCATGGGCCAGGGCAAATACAAAATGAATAAAAATATGAGAAACTAATGTCATGAAAAAGATAAATTAGGTAAGCATATGTGGCCATACTAAAATTGGTGAAATAGAATTCAATTTAAGGAACAAAAAACCAAGAGGGGCATTTTTATTAATAAAATCTGCAGCCCATGTGATAGACATGTCATAAATCTTCAAACAACAAACAATATACTAAATAAAAACCGGAGTTGTGAACTATTTAGATATGAAAAGAGATTACTAGATACCAAAAGTTTGGAATATAGCTGAAAAATATATTCAGAAAAAAATATTATCTTAAATGCCAGAAGCTTCAAGATTTTAGGGCATTTATAGCAGTTGCAGTGGAAAAGTGCCAATCTTATTGGCTATGCAATATCTGAACATCACCACTAGGTACCAGGAAAAACACATCGGGTGACTGTTCACTAACTTACACGAAACATCACCTCGCAATACAACCTTCTGATCTTTGACAAACCTGACAAAAACAAGGAATGGGGAAAGGAGTTCCTGTTTAATAAATGGTGTTGGAAAACTGGCTAGCCATGTGCAGAAAGCTGAAACGGGACCCCTTCCTTACACCTTACACTAAAATTAACTCCACATGGATTAAAGATTTAAACATAAGACCTAACACCATAAAAACCCTAGAAGAAAACATAGGCAATAACATTCAGGACATAGGCATGGGCAAGGACTTCACGACTAAAACAACAAAAGCAACGGCAACAAAAGCCAAAACAGACAAATGGGATCTAATTAAACTCCACAGCTTCTGCACAGCAAAAGAAACTATCAGTAGAATGAACTGGCAACCAAAAGAATGACAGAAAATTTTTTCAGTCATCAACCCATCCGACAAAGGGCTGATATCCACAATTTACAAAGAACTAAAACAGATTTACAAGAAAAAAACAAACAAGCCCATTCAAAAGTGGGCAAAGGATATGAACAGACACTTTACAAAAGAAGACATACATGAGGCCAACAAACATATGAAGAAATGCTCATCATCACTGGTCATTAGGGAAATGCAAATCGAAACCACACTGAGATATCATCTCATGCCAGTTAGAATGGCCAATCATTAAAAAATCTGGAGACAACAGATGCTGGAGAAGATGTGGGAAATAGGAACACTTTTACATTGTTCGTGGGAGTGTAAATAAATTCAACCATTGTGGAAGATGGTGTGGTGATTCCTCAAGGACCTAGAAATAGAAATTCCATTTGACTCAGCAATCCCATTACTGGGTATATGCCCAAAGGGTTATAAATTATTCTATTATAAAGACGTATGCACATATATGTTTATTGCAGCACTGTTTACCATAGCAAAGACTTGGAACCAACCCAAATGCCCATCAATGATAGACTGGATAAAGAAAATGTGGCACATATACACCATGGAATACTATGCAGCCATAAAAAAGGATCAGTTCGTGTCCTTTGCAGGGATATGGTTGAAGCTGCAAACCATCATTCTTAGCAAACTGACACAAGAACAGAAAACCAAACACTGCATGCTCTCATTCATAAGTGGGTGTTGAACAATGAGAACAGACGGACACAGGAAGGGAAACATCACACACCAGGGCTACTGGGTGGAGGGCTAGGGGGAGGAATAGCAGGGGGTGGGGGGATTGGGGAGGGATAGCACTAGGAGAAATATCTAATGTAGGTGACGGTGGGGGATGGATGCAGCAAACCACCACCATGGCTTGTGTATACCCCTGTAACAAACCTGCACGATCTGCACATGTACCCCAGAACTTGAGGTATAATAAATAAATTTTTAAAAAGTAATAATAATAATAAAAGAAACATCACCTAAGGATTTCTATAATTGATTTTTATAACTTTAGACTGGAGCTTGTGGTCTAGCCAACAGCTGGAGACCAACATAATTTTAATTGTTATTGATGATATTGATCTCATCTGTATCTACAGGTAAAAAAGACCTATAAATCGAGGGAATACTTACCTTTCGGTAATCTCCTTGAGTACAAAGGACGGACATCAGTGATTCCATGAGGGTAGATGTTATATGGTCGGCTTGCTTGATTCTTAAATATAATCTGAAAGTATAAGTGAGATCTAAGATCAAATTCTAAAACAACTAAAACAACAAGAAAACTGTGATCTAACTCCAGATAAATAAAAGTGGCCTCTATCTACATTATAGTAATTTAAGCCTAGATAAAACTCAGAATATTTGGTCTTTTCATGAAATTGTTCAGAGAGCTATGACTGTCCCTTGGCATGCATGGAGGATCGGTTCCAGGACCCCCACAGATACCAAAATCTGTGATACTCTGGTCTCTTATGTAAAATTATGTAGTATTTGCATACAACCTATGCACACACTCTCATGTACTTTAACTCATCTCTAGATTTCTTATAGATACACAATAAAATGTAAATGCTATGTAAACAGTTGCTATAGTGTATTTTTTCTTTGTATTATTATTTATTGTTGTATTATTATCTTTTATTGTTTTGGGGTTGTTCTTTGAATACTTTCAATCTGTGATTGTTTGACTATGAGACTAAAAACCCATTGATACTGAAAAATAAAAATAAAATCTTAAGCATCCCCAAACAACTGAAGAGACCCACTTCTTGGCCAAGAAGACCCCAGAGAAGGCTTAAAAACTGAATTTCTGACCATGGTGGGATGGGAGAGCAGGCATGCCTTGTTACACTCCCTCCCTCCCTAATCTGCCATTAGACTTTCTTTCTTAAGGGTTAAACAGAAACCAGTCCTTTCTAAAGATGTACTGGATTCCCCTCCCTTTTTGCAGTTTTGACACAACAAGTGACAAGCATTCCTTCTTGAGGAGAGACCAATGACCATGAACTGGCTCTGGCCAGTTTACAGAGGCTGCCTCGGTGTCCTTTGTTTCACCTTTTGACATATAAAGCCTAATTTTCATGCATCTAAATGTTAAGTCTCCACCCCAAAGGGAACTTGGAATGTATGTAACATGCATGGCTGCATGTGTCCCATCATAAATATTCACAGCTCATCCTGGAATTTGTTAAATATGTATACTTAACTAATTCATTCAGCATAAATTCCTATCTCATTGTTCATTCTTCAAAGTGCTTGCTTCCAGTTTCTGCCAGAGGCTACACTTCCCAGCCTGCAACCCTTTCCACTCCAAATTTATGAACTTCTGATTCTTCAGTTGACAATGTGGAGGACTGGCAGTACTTAGGTTTCTCTCTAAAGGCCCCTTTCCATTTCTTTAAAAATTGTTTCAATTGCTGCAGGAAGTATACTCTGCACCTTCTCACACTAATCGAAATTCGGATGTTGCTGAGGACACTGCTTCCCCTCAGCCTTTTTCATTATTTGGGCACTAAATTCACTGATAATAGAGAAAGAGATAGTGTTCCAGGAGATAAAATCTTCAGTGAATAAGCAGGCATGACCAAGAGGACAATTGATCATAACATTAAGCAAGGGTGGCAGGTGGCATTGCCTGATTGCACCAGCTTTAAAAGAAATCAAAGGCCCAGGTGCAGTGGCTCATGCCAGCACTTTGGAAAGCCAAGGCAGGAGGATTATTTGAGCCCAAGAGTTCAAGACCAACCTGAGCAATATGGTGAGACCTCATCTCCGCAAAAAATTAAAAATTTAGCTGGGCGTGGTGGCTCATGCCTGTAGTCCCAGCTATTTGGGAGGCTGAGGTGGGAGTAGTGAACTGTGATCACACCACAGCACTCCAGCCTGGGTGATAGAGTGAGACCCTAGATCAAAAGAGAGAGAGCAAGGAAGAGTAATAACATGAAAGCTGCAGCGAAGAACCCTGAAAATATCAATCCCACCTCCAGATCTGAGATGTGTGATATGAGGATGAAAATGCAACTTCCACTTGTGCTCTTGTCTTAAAACCCAGTAATTTAGTAAGCCCACTAAATAGCCAATTCCTTACCTGCATGTAAGCAGCAGAATGATGCTTCAAATAATAGCAGTTTTGTTTAATCCTTTCCAATATTAAAATACTTTTTCCATTTTTTGCCCAAAGAACACTGACTAGAATTTCCAATATAACATTAAGTAGAGATGGTGATATCTGTCAATTTTAAGTTTTTTCCAGATGTTTATCAGGATAATAAGTATTTCCTTGTAATTTGAATTTCCTGTGAGTTTTTATTATGAATGGATGTTGACTTTTGACTAATGCTTTTTCTGAAGCTATTGGAATTATCAGATTATGTTTTTCCTTTTATGTATTAATATAGTAGATTGTCACATTTGATTTTCTAATGTTAAATTAATCTAGTACTTCTGGGATATATAATAAGTATTATCTTTTAATATATTGTTATATTAGGTTTATTAAATTTTGTTTAGGATTTTTTGAACACATGCAATTGGTCTGTATTTTTAATTTTCCTTTCTCATGCTGACTTAGTCAGGTTTACAACCAAATGCTATGTTAACCTAAAAAAAATAAGTGCTTGATTTTCCTTTTTTATACCCTACATTTTAAATTTTAATATAAAGTTATTTATTGAATGTTGATATAAATTGCTAATAAAATGGCAATTCTTGGTAGGTTGATAGTTATTTTCTTTCAATACATGAAAGATAAGATTTCATTGTCTTCTTGCATCCTTTTTTGGCTCTAGAGAAGTAAGCTGTCAGTCTATGTGGCAGTTTTAAAACATGTCCCCAATTCTTTGACACTTCTCTCATCAGGAAGTGGGCCAAACTTTTCTTCTTCTTAATTTGGGCATTTGGGTTGGTTCCAAGTCTTTGCTATGGTAAACAGTGCTGCAATAAACATATGTTTGCATATGTCTTTATAATAGAATGATTTATAACCCTTTGGGCATAAGCCCAGTAATTGGATTGCTGGGTCAAGTGGTATTTTTATTTCTAGACCATTGAGGAATCACCACATCATCTTCCACAATGGTTGAACTAATTTACACTCCCACCAGCAGTGTAAAAGTGTTCCTATTTCTCCACATCCTCTCCAGCATCTGCTGTCTCCAGATTTTTTAATGATCGCCATTCTAACTGGCGTGAGATGGTATCTCAATGTGGTTTTGATTTGCATCTCTCTGATGACCAGAGACGATGAGCATTTTTTCATATGATTGTTGGCCTCATATATGTCTTCTTTCGTAAAGTGTCTGTTCATATCCTTTGCCCAATTTTGAATGGGCTTGTTGGTTTTTTTCCTATAAATCTGTTTGAGTTCTTTGTAAATTCTGGATATCAGCCCTTTGTCAGATGGGTAAACTGCAAAAACTTTTTCCCATTCTGTTGGTTGCCGATTCACACTAGAGACTGTTTCTTTTGCTGTGCAGAAGCTGTGGAGTTTCATTAGGTCCCATTTGTCTATTTTGGCTTTTGTTGCCAATGCTTTTGGTGTTTTGTTCATGAAGTCCTTGCCTACTCCTATGTCCTGGATGGTTTTGCCTAGACTTTCTTCTAGGGTTTTTATGGTGCCAGGTCTTATGTTTAAGTCTTTAATCCATCTGGAGTTAATTATAGTGTAAGGTGTCAGGAAGGGGTCCAGTTTCTGCTTTCTGCACATGCCTAGCCAGTTTTCCCAGCACCATTTGTTGAACAGGGAATCCTTTCCCCATTGCTTGTTTTTGTCAGGTTTATCAAAGATTGTATAGTTGTAGATATGTTGTGTTGCCTCCGATGCCTCTGTTTTGTTCCATTGGTCTATATCTCTGTTTTGGTACCAGTACCATGCTGTTTTGATTACTATAGCCTTGTAGTATAGTTTGAAGTCAGGTAGCATGATGCCTCCAACTTTGTTCTTTTTGCTTAGGATTGTCTTGGCTATGCGGGCTCTCTTTTGGTTCCATATGGAGTTTAAGTTGTTTTTGTCCAGTTCTGTGAAGAGGGTCATAGGTAGCTTGATGGGGATAGTGTTGAATCTATAAATTACTTTGGGCAGTATGGCCATTTTCACAATACTGATTCTCCTAACCATGAGCATGGAATGTTTCTCCATCTGTTTGTGTCCTCTCTTATTTCGTTGAGCAGCAGTTTGTAGTCCTTGTTGAAGAGGTCCTTTACTTCCTTTGTTAGTTGTATTCCTAGGTATTTTATTCTCTTTGTAGCAATTGTGAATGGCAGTTCATTCTTTATCTGGCTCTCTTTAAGTCTGTTATTGGTGTATAGGAATGTCTGTGATTTCTGCACATTGATTTTGTATCCTGAGACTTTGCTGAAGTTGCTTATCAGTTTCAGGAGTTTTTCGGCTGAGACGATGGGGTCTTCTAGATATACTATCATGTCGTCTGCAAATAGAGACAATTTGGCTTCCTCCTTTCCTATTTGAATACCCTTTATTTCTTTTTCTTGCCTGATTGCTCTGGCTAGAACTTCCAGTACTATATTGAATAGGAGTGGTGAGAGAGGGCATCCTTGTCTAGTGCCGGATTTCAAAGGGAATGCTTCCAGTTTTTGCCCATTCAGTATGATATTGGCTGTTGGTTTGTCGTAAATAGCTTTTATTATTTTGAGATACGTTCCATCAATACCGAGTTTATTGAGGGTTTTTAGCATAAAGGGCTGTTGAATTTTGTCAAATGCCTTCTCTGCATCTATTGAGATAATCATGTGGTTTTTGTCTTTGGTTCTGCCTATGTAGCGGATTATGTTTATATACTTGCATATGTTGAACCAGCTTTGCATCCCCGGGATGAATCCTACTTGATCATGATGGATAAGCTTCTTGATGTGCTGTTGCAATCGGTTTGCCAGTATTTTACTGAAGATTTTTGCATCTATGTTTATCATGGATATTGGCCTGACGTTTTCTTTTCTTGCTGAGTTTCTGCCAGGTTTTGGTAACAGGATGATGTTGGTCTCATAAAATGATTTGGGAAGCATTCCCTCTTTTTGTATTGTTTGGAATAGTTTCAGAAGCAATGGTATCAGCTCCTGTTTGTACATCTGGTAGAATTCGGCTGTGAACCCATCTGGACCTGGGCTTTTTTTCGTTGGTAGGCTCTTAATTGCTGCCTTAACTTCAGACCTTGTTATTGGTCTATTCAGGGTTTTGATTTCTTCCTGGTTTAGGCTTGGGAGGATGCA